CAAATAAGTCTCAAAAAAAAATATTTTATTGCTATTAAGCATCTGCATCCAATTTCCAATATTCAGTCAGTAGAGGCCTGCGACACTGACAGGGGACAGTGTTACAACAGAGTCAAGAGTTCATCAGTGCTAATCAGACCAAAGGCTTAGAGCTGATCCTATTCTCTTCCAAAGCTTTCACCCATCCCTGAATCTCATTACATGGCCTGTTGTAATAGAGGATAATGACCAGGGGCCACGCACACAATGCTGATCACTCCTCCGTACTCAACCTACTGCACAGTCATTACACAGTGATAATACACAACCTTGCCGAGGGGGGTTACACTTACAAACAGAGGAGAGGTAATGGCGGCAGAGCTACAGGAAGAGACGTCTGAGTGGTAACACGGAGGCGCATACAGTAACATACAATTCACAGTGACAGGCCTTGTTGTGCTATTTAAGGTCACAAGGAACGGTTTGATTTCCTGCAACTGTAATAGAACTCTTCTCTCTGTAGTCATTAAATATCCTTCCACCTGAGATGAAAAAGGGGGTTGCAGTTTGGCTGAATAGTGGCATGGCTCCCCTTTGTTAAGCTAATTAGCCATGACTCTGTCGAAGGGCTCCAGGTGTTGAATATTCTGCTTGAGCAGCCACTGTATCTCCTTTGAACGGGTCTAAAAAAAGCCGTAAGGAAGGGCATCATCTTTCTTTTTTTTGTATTTGAGTGTTGGTTTTGACCCTGGTTGTGTCAGACTGCCTGGGAAATTTTGGTTTATTTTATATTAATGGATTCTACCTGGATAAAGTGTCCATTCTCAGTTTAACAGCTGTGTCAAATGTCCTCAGACCACACCTGTTCTCAGGCCGGATGACCCCGGATCACATGCAGCACTGTTTTCTCAACAGCATCCTGGGAACTAAGCTGTGAATCTGGATAGCTGCTGTAGTCATGAGAAATAATCACGTGACTAATAATAAGAAAAAAAAATCTGCATTTAATGGAACACTGAAAACAATTTGAAAATGTTTTGTATGCAATGTTTTTTTTTTCATTTGTTTTGGGTCTATAATTCTTATTTAGACAATTACTTCATTCATCAGACTAAAAAGAAAGAATGAGACTGCCCCTTGACCCTCAATAACACATAGATGACAAAAGATACATAATCCAATTTACTGCTGGTTGTCGGTTGCTGGCAAAGACTCAGAAAGTGGATACTGAGCCCAGGAAAATCCCTAAAAGCTAAAACAGGAGGCTGAAACCCAATTACTCGCCCTTGTCTTGGGGACGATCATAAAGACTGAACACACAAAGTATTTCTGTGTTGACTTGCGCTGTATTGATTCATACTTTAGTGCATTATATAAAACTGATCTAATTGCATGTGAATCAAATCAAGGTCACCTTGGCTTTTTATAATGGTGGCTATTTTTCTTTTTCCTCCTAATACTTTATACTGACATTTTTAACTCTTGACAAGTGCTGTCTGGAGACTTATCCATAAATAATGCATTTACAATACCTAGTAAATAAACATGGGGCATAATCGTTAGCCCTGCTGGCAACTGGGCCTAATAGAGCTTTTACAGCAAAGGTGACTATTCAGCTAAATGCGGTGCTCGCTGCTGGGAGAACATTTTCATTCATTAGCACAGTCACAAGCACTTAAAGCACTTTAAGGAGCAGAAATGGAGAGGAAGGATGGAAGGATAGAGAGGGTGAAAGGGTACAAATATATGGAGATGAAGGGATGGAGGAGTGATATTTAAAATACTGAGCACCGCCTCTATTGTTATAGTATTTATAAAGCATCATGGCCAATGGAGGAAACTGGCCAACCATGTTCTCTGAATAGAGACATAATAGGGGGAGTATTAGTATTCGTTAACTAATTAGTATTAGTAGAGTATAAGTAGAAGAGATACAACATATCACACATTTTTGATTTCTTTGCTCCAACCAGCAAGAATAATGTCTGAGCCCTTTCTATTTAGATACTATAACAAGAACTTTGTTTAACTTAAAAGGTGAAATATTTGCCTTTGAGAATTCTGTCACAATTACAACAGAATCTAACTAGAAGGACACTCAGTCAAGCACATACGTCCGCCAAGGCCCAAATTATCCTTATGAAACCACATAAATATTAGTCTTGTAAACATCACTGAATGTTTTTTCATCAAGATGAATTATTCTCTGAAAAATCAACAAAAGGTTAAAACACACATCTCGCAATGTTAAAGGTCCAGTGTGTAAGATTTAGGTGAAAGGGAACTATTGGCAGAAATTTCATGTAGAATAATCCTCATGATGTTTTCACTAGTTCATTTCATCTAAATTGTATGAATTGTAGTTTTCTTTACCCCAAAAGCCCCTTTATATTTACATCGAGCCATGTTTTTTACATTAGTCCAGACTGGACAAACTAAACACCTTTTGAGTTTTTATGACAACTGAAGCTACCACAGGTTCTTTTTCATGTTTGGAAGGAGAGGGTGAGGTGAGGGGTGTTCAGCTGCAACATGCAACTTCAACACTAGATATCACAAAATTCTACACACTGTACCTTTAAGGAAAATTGAAATAAATCCGTAGCCTGAGTGGAGGTAAAAATCGGCGTACAAATTCCTAAAGACATATCTGGATATCATGAGAGAGATTTTCAGACCAAAACTTCCGTCTGGGTCACTTTCACTTTAAGTGGGATTTCACGCACCACATGAGCACAACCCAAGCAGTCATTGTGTAAAAACTGTACCACAGTCCACTTTTTTCCTTCTACACTGGATGTCACCACTTTCACCCTCAGTGCACCAGGTTAGTGAACTTTCTTGACCAGACAAGGAAGCCTAGAGAAGAATGGCAGCAGATGGTGAAAGAGTCTCTGAGGAGCTCCGTGATCCCGACCAGGCAGGCACCAAAGCAGCAGAATTAGACACAACAGTTGTCATGCTTATATTTAGCTCATCTGTTGCTTGTGCCACATTAGCAACATCATTAAGACAACAAATGGCTTCTCCAACCTTCTTGTCTGTTCTTTAATAGGATAATCCTGCCCTGTTCATTTTCCAACCGTGTCTCGCTCCATAAACAAAGACGAGGAGACCGTGATTTGTCAGATGGTTTCTCCAAGGTTTTCATTTGGCAGTTTCCAAGAGTTGCACTCCCTTTACCATTTTACAGTAATCACTGTTCATCCCCACAGAAGCTTCATCGAGCACTCTCAAGAACAGAGTATCTCTCAGTCCCTGCAGCTTGGGGACGGCGCGCTGAACTTTGTGAGCCTCTTGTCTTCTGCTGTGTACCCTGCTCAGAAACTAATTTCCTGCAACAAGGGAGTTTATTTTGGTGGCGATGATACACAGTGCATGAGGCAGACCAAGCCTCTATTATTAACAGGAGATTAAAACAGCTGTATGGCACTCTAAAGCACCCTCTCCTCCCTGCGCTAACATACGGCCCTGGATTACAAGCTGCACTTGACCATTTAAATTACTGCAACAACCAGCCTTCACCAGCTGGGGCTCATTACCATAATACCCGCTGCTGCTACAAAGACCTCTGACAATCTTGCCCAGAAAATTAACGCTGCAAAAAACGAGACATATATGAAATATATTATTTTGCTTTACATTTTTTAACTAATCAGAATTGGTCTTCTAACGTGCCGCAGCATCCAGATCTAAGCTCAAGGGCAAGAAAACTGCTTATCCCAAATATTCATGTCAGTTGGTAGGGTGGTGTGAAAAAGAGAGCAGAAATGTATCTGCTGTAGTTTTGTTTTATTATATTTTTTGGCAAATTGCCAATATCCACGGCCAATTAAAATAAATAGCGGTATTGATTATAGTATAAAAAGCCTCAGTTGGAATACAATTCTTAAAACTGGTGGCTTGCTTATGAGCATTTTGGTGTGTTAAATGCTAATTTCGGCATTTGCTGATCATTTTTGATCCATTTAAATGATCTAAAATTTCTGTTTTCTTATTGATCTCCAAGTGATCACTGTACAGATGAATAAGGACTGTCTGTCCTGTCTTTTCTTATCTAAACGACACCAAAAAAAATCTAACCACATATCGTGATGTGGCTAAATGATAGTCCGGTGAGAGGCCCGTGATGCTCTGATACAAAGATCACCAAACGAACACTTGAAAAAGAAGTGGCAAATTATTTTTAGGCTAACAGAGGTCTAATTTATTCGTCTGATGAAGTGCTTAAGCTAAGAGCTCCCCAGACACTAAATGAGACACATGCATTCCCAAGGGGGTTTAACATTTGATTGGATGTAGTTATATTACTACAGCCCTAATTAAGAAGGGGGATGTGTTTCAGCAGCACTTTCAAATATTTGTTTTTACGCCACACTCTTGATAGACTGCAGGCTGTGGGAGGGAGAGCCGAGCAGGGTGAAACTGGGTGCAGATATGACAGAGACCCAATGCTCTTATCGTGGAAAGGATTTTTTTCCCTCTGGAAGTAACAGTGAGAAAATAACTCTGAAAACTTCATGGTATGTGTTGAATTAATCAGACGCATTAAACTGGTAAAATATCACGCGAAGGGTTCTGGTTGTTTGTGTGCAGCGAACTTTGATGAACAACTGTGCAGGGTGAAAAATGTTCAGTGTAGCAAAATAAAGAAGAGGTAATGTTCCTGGCGTCGGGTCAGCACTGTGAGTTTTATAGTTTAAGAGTTTGCCTTGGCACCAAAGGAGACCACACTTATGCTGAGGTGCACTGCCACACAGTCTTTGTCACATTGGAGGAGGTTCAGAACAAACTGGAAACACTGTATCGTCAATATTCCCAGCTTGTGTGTTCCCGCGTGAGGGTGTGAGGCGGTGAGATACAAGAGAGAGAAAAGGGTGGATAGTCAGGAAACCAGAAAATTATAAAAAGAGAGAGGGAAAATTAGGACAATCAGGCGCACTTAGTAGGGAAAATGTATTCCTAGGCCCGCAGTCTACACACACACACACACACACACACACACAAATAGGGAGTCATACCGTCTTGCTCTGTCTTTGTCATCTCCTCCAGCTTCTTCTGCTTCAGCGTGTCCACTACATCTGCCAGGCTTCCTTTGCGGCGCTCCGGAGTTCCAAACGCTGATCCGCTCAGCAGGTCACTTCGCTCCCGGGCCCCCTCCTCGGGCTTATGTGGGGAAGTAGAATTGTTCCGGAAGGAGTACAGAGAACATACTTTATTGCTGTCAGATTCCTGCAAAGACAAACAAAAGTTGGGAGGGGGGGGGTCGGGGGGTGGCAACAAGGGATGGGATTTGTATTAAATGATAAGTATGTTGCTGCGTTCTGTCAGGGCTCCATTGAGCTTTTTGACAGTTCTTCCTTCAAATGCAGTGATTGCTAGGTGTTTGCAGCTCAGGGGCGATTTGGCCGAATCAAATGGCTCCTCTCTGGCTTTCACACAGCAGCTTCTGTATCTTCCACAGAGCTAGCTGTGCGGGCAAATGAGATATGACAAGTGAAAAATTGAGACGAAATGATGAGGTACACTTTCATCAGGCATATCCATAATGTGTTCAGGCGTCACAGTACTTTTCATCTGCATAGACTACACAGAGAAACCTCCCAACTGTAATTTCTCAAATTGCTTTTGAGTGTGCATTTGTGTTCGGGTGACTGCTGTGTAATTTGTTCATTTTCTAGTGGAGACCTATTCTCAGCTGAGTGCCTCGAGCCGTCGTAAATCTGTGTCCTGTCTCAAGCTGTTGTTGTTTTTCAGTCCCACCTGTGTATGGTTTAGTATTTAACTAAGGGTCCTGTCTCTGGCTGACTGGCTGAGTGCTCCCTGTGCACAAACAGAGACGTGAAGGAAGAGGGGAGAAGAATGGGAGAGAGAGGCGGGGGAGACTAAACTCTGCACATGTGAGTCAGCGCAGAGACCATGGCGAAGGGTTGCGTTTGACAGAAGGTGGTGTTAATTATGGTTTTTGGGGTCGGAGAATGCAGAAGGTAGTTGAGCAGCCAGGAGTTTTGTAGCCCTTAACGGAGGAACAGTTTGCGCGGATTTAAACTTTGGCTCTCATGGTGGAGGGAATAAACATGACACATCTGTATAGTGCACACCTATCAGGGAAAAATGAGCTTTAATCAACAGAGGTGCGATAACAGAATGTAATACAACAGGGTTACGTGATACAGCCATGTCTGGAGCCACGGAAAATCCTAAATAAAAATTCAGGAATGCAGCAAACTGGGCAGGAATGTGGACAGTGCCAATTTCTCATCCCTGCGTGGCATGTCGAGCCCCAGGCATAGTTGCAGTGTGTGTGTGTGTGTGTGTAGGATGGTCTGGTACCAAGCGCCAGGGTGGCACGACCGACCGACCTACTCCGCACCTCCCCGCCCTGTGTTGGATGATTATGCAGCGTGGCAGAGACGGTGGAGAGTGCTTGAGGGGAGTGTAGCAGTGCTGGGTTAATCAGCTGGCGCAGGTTCAGGGCACAGCCCACACAGACGCATGGCACAGCAGTGGAGTCAGGTAATCAGCAAAGACAACACTCTTCATTCCTCTCGCCTCTTGCCTTCCCCTTTTCTTCTGTCTCTCCCTATCCTCCTCCATTTTACCTCTCCTCTCTCTTCTTTTTTTCACTCATTTTGTCTATTTACTCTCTTTCAACCTATTATTCCTTCTAGGTAACTTCTAACCATAAATCACAGCTGAAAGATTTATACCCCTCACAGCACAGTATATCAGTAAAGACTCTCCTTGTGACACGAGATCAAGGCCGCAGTATAGGAGAAGATAACGCAGAGATGCTCATATTTTCACCCGCTGACATGTTGAATTGCCGTCATTCATCCATTTATGTAATGTAATTAAGTCAAACTGCTTTAACTGTTTTCAGACTTCAGTTTGGTGTTGGCAGCCATCAAGATCTCAGCTCAGTTTAGGTTTTTTTTTGTTTTCTTAAGAGTCTCTTTTTGACCTGTACTTTCTAGGAGGATGTAGTTAACTCTGCTTCCCTGAGTAATCAATTACATTTTTTTTTTCAAATGATAGGCATTGATAAATAATGAATCTTTGCCGATGATACTCTTGTTTATTTCTTCAGATGTTAAAGAATATTACAACAGAAAGATACAACAGCATTTATGAATATAATTTGATCAGATATGGTGATTGTTGTGATTGGACCGATTACCACAGAATTTGGTGAAATGATGCACAATGGTTCAGAAAGAAATCCAAAATCTTTGTGTGGATTAAGAAATTACATTTTTCACTTTCTTAAACATTGTAAGGTGTTTTTCAAAAATGTTCCTTGATTTCTCTGAGAATAATTCATATCTTGAAGAAAACAATCAGGCATGTTTATGATATTTATGAGTGTGTGCAATTTGGTGCAGATTCAAATAAAAATCCACATCTAGTCAAATTAAATGTGGTTTAATAAAAATCTCATTAGTTAGTAAAGTAAAGAGGTAAAGTTAGTTAAGTTAGTAAAGTTAAGGGAACTGTTGGGTCTTGGTGAAGGTATGTGCTCTACTGAGTGCTATTTTAGTTTGTTCTTTAATATTTCCCATCTCCCATTTAGAACTGATATGCTATACTGCTATGTTTAATAAAAAACTTCTTCACAGAGGAGCTGTAGAGATTATAATTATTGTTAGTATCTATAATTTTGGCTAATATTGGTTGTATTGGTGGGCATTTATAAACTTTTCAGTGTTTTTAAAACTTGCTAAATTCCCGTCCCTGATATCCTGCTGTGCCACAGATGAAGACGACACCTGAGCAATCCTTTTCTTGCCAATTACCTCCGCTGTCACACCACAGAATCATGAGGAGCAGTCTGCTACAGAGCTCATTCATGTGTCTGCTTGCGTGTGTGTTGTGCTGCAGTGCCGAGGTGTTAAGGGTCTCAGTGGCCAACTGCAGAGCTACTTCAGAGGCCCTCTGGGTCTCTTTACCTCCGGCCCGTCTGTCACAGACAACCACCTGCCTCCCGTGTCTATTGCCCACAAGTGCCTGTGCTCTTCTTTGCTCTGCTCACATCAAAGCAGCTCAGAACTTTGAATGTACAGCGTCTGGGGCCGGGCTGCAGATGTAGCTTATACACAACAATAAAAACAACACACATGCACCAAGGACAAGACATGTTTTTTGATAGCAGCAAGAATGCAAGCTAAAGGGAGCAGATAAGGCTCCATATCCTTCCATCGATCAAGAGGCCATTTTATGTGAGATTATTGAAGGGACAGTTAGAGCGTAAGAGTCATCTGTTTAACCTAATAACAGCTAAAGGGTTAGTGTAAAGACTCAAAGGATTCACAGCATAATGAACTGTTGGGTCTGAGCTCAGGATGGAGTATTGGCAGAGCGTCTTTGTTCAACTCAGGAACAATGAGCACCTGCTGAGCCGGAGTCTGAATACCCGAGGGAGGACAATAAGACATTAGTGCACACTGTCCTGCTTATGGGGGTTTTCTTTCAAAATAAACTGTTCATTCATCATTTATGCTTCTCCCACCACAACTATTCAGTTTTCTTTTATTCCAGTAATACCACAGAGGCATTGAGCAAGTATGGAAAAGGTTTAGAGTTTAAACCTCTGGCAAGTATAGTAAAATTTCATTAGAGGGCTTTCACTAACTCTCCACAGGTACATAAGTACTCCTCTCTATGACTGGTTGGTAAATTAAACTCAACCCAGGGAATCATCTCAGTCTGTTCTGCTGAATGGAAATTGACTTGAAATGTTTGGTTTGTCATATTGATTTAGTAAAGGATAGTGTGTTATTTTGCCTCAGCAGCATTAAATTCAATGCTATACTGAAATGGCTGCCTGTAGGATAAAGAATAAAAAAATCGAACGCATTATAGTAAGCTTTAGTGAGGTCCTACACATGGTCTACACGCAGCCTGTAGGAAATCAGCTAAAATGTGCAGAAACATCAATATAGTGCTTCTTTTTTGTTTATACCTGTACTGAGGGATTTTGTGCAAATATGCCAGACTTGAAATGTTTGGTATTAGTAATAATCCAGCAACAGCATGGGATCATTTTTGAAGTTGTGCACTACGTAGTACGATGACATGTCTCACCATGCGCTGCTGGGCTGACACCAGGGTGTCCCAGTCGCTCTCTGGCGGTATGCTGCTGAGCTGCTGCACTTCATCAGGATGGGCTTTCCCATGGAGCAGACTGTGCAGGGGCAGCTGTGGCGTACCGTGGGCCTCGGCACTCTCCTCTTTCTCCCAAGACAAGTGTTCTTGATTCATGGCGTCATCCCCATCGACCACGGAGGCAAAAGGAGATGTGGCTTGCTTAGAAGACATGACTCTGCTGTGAAGAGAGAAAAGAAGAATGGAGTCAAGAAAAAAGAAATGAATGTCTTACAAGGATCATGAACAACACATGGAAAGGAACGCTGTGTCCTTTAAGTATTTTATGAACGACTGGCAGTTCCATTAGGGTGATGCTGCATGGTTGTAACTGGGATTATAAATGGTGCATCTGAGTCGATAATGCTGAATGGACTGAATGCTCCACCTGACTGTTGTCTGTAGTTGCTCTGGCCTGAGTTTTGAGCAGGCCAAGGGGTCCCTAATCCCTTGTTTAATGCAGATGGATGGCTTGATCTAGGGCTGGAACTGTGCCTGCTTGGGTCCTGGCCCAAACCCCAAGACAGTTACTCAGGCAGTAGGTCAGCCAGGCAGTGGGACTACCATTCAGATAAAAAAAGTAAAAAAACTCACAAATAAGTTAACCCTGTCATACACATAGATGTAAAACAAGGTTGCTTTATCCTGCGATAAAATTATTTTTATAATTATTTCTAAGCCACCTGAATAAAGTTTCTTTATGTTTCATATTGGTTTAACTTGATTTTGTCCTTCAAACTTCTTTTCACTTTTCATGTGTGAGAAAAATGTGAGTTGATTTCACTCCAAAGCAAGTCAAACGCAAACAAAAGCCCCATTTCCACAAATCAGTAAAAAAATTAAGCATAACAAACATTATGGTGTGACAGTCCTCCCCTAGGCTAACAAAACCTACTTGAAGAGGGAAAAAAATCTAAAGCTAACAGTGGAGGACAACATTCATAAATCGGTCACATTCTTTCATGAATATTACAGTGAACTGAGTGTACTTGACATATTAGGTGCAAAGAAAACCTGTGTTGAATCTATTTTTTTTCCCTTTTTACAAGCCAACTCTTTGGTGCAAAATTTATTTCAAACAATTCCACTTTTTTACTCACATTTAATGAGGCCGCAAATTATGCATTTGATATCAAATTTAAAGAGGGATAATGTGGCCTTCCCACCGATGTGGAGTGGAGAGAAAGAGCTTGAGCATATTTGAACCCTGATCCGCTTTCCCCCGAGCTGTTGTTCTGCTTATATTTCTCAACTACGTTGACCAGCAACGTGACTACTTAGGGCTCAGTTTTTTCTCGAGGATGACTGTGTGTCTTTTTTCTTTCTCTGTCTCTCTGTGTGGGCGGAAAGACAAATTTGGGGTGTGACGGTATGGCTCAGTTTCTATGTGACAAAACACCTTGGATGCTTCTCATGATACATTTCATTGCCGATCACCATCTGCCCCGTTCTCCTGCACGTTCCGCAGGGGTCAGTGTGACAGCACTTCATAGTTGCACCCTCAGCTTGCCTTGGGGGGGTGGGGGTTGAGAGGAGTGTGTTTTCAAGGTTCAGCCGGGCTGTGGTGCGATCGTGTCCTTGCACTTCTCTGCTGAGAGCCGAGCACCGAGAGAACGGCAAAGATATCTTCCATGTTTGAAAAATAAAAAATTTATGAACAAGGTCTTTTGGGTCTAATAGTTCTTGTTGGTTTTACTCAAGGAAATCTGTCAAGTGTGGCGCATTGTCTGTGTGCACACACTGTTGAATTGTTGGTGGCTGCTGATGTTCTAGAAACATTTTATGACTCCTTTCATAAACAAAGTCAACACTGAGTGCTTTATAAAAAGTAACATTTAAGTAACAACTGCTATACAGCAAATTAGAAAAGGATAAAAACATAAAATGAACTGCAATGAAATAAAGTGCAAAAGTTACCATGTAGTTATTGGATAATATATAGCAGGAGGGATTTTAGTCTCGATTTGAAATAGCTTTTAGCCGGAGCATTTGACGTTTAACAAAACCCCAGAAAACTTAGGTCTGGAGAATATAAATGCTGAAGCAGAACAGACATATTTTTAGAGAGTTACAATACACATGCACTGTTATATCCATATAGTATATGCCCTAACATACTGTCTCTGACTCTTCATGTACACTCACACTCTGGCACATGGTTAAAGCTCAGTCTGGGCAGTGAAAGCTGACCTAGACAATTGTAGCAGGAGCTAATCTCATGTGTTTCAGCAGCTGTACAAACAGACCCAGTGAGTCAGGTAGATGGCAGAGCAGGACTATGGGACCCGTCGTGCCTGACTCTGTCTGTCTGTCTCTTTTAGCCTCTGTTCCTGGATGTGTTGCCAAATGAGCCTTTAGTGGGACTCAGCCCTCAATTTTAATCAGCCATCAAAATGTTTCCTGTAATTATGTGAAATAGAAAGTGATCTCAAAATTGGGCACTGTTAATTGAAAATCAAAAGTCAGAGGGAGAGTTCAGAGGATGCATGTAACTGTAAGTAGAGGGGACAGAAGTGAGGTTGGAAGAGAGGCGTGTTTCTGTGTGTGTGTGTGTGCGTGCGTGCGTGTGTGTGTGCGTGCGCGGCTCGAGCATGTAGATTCTGATGTATTTTTTATTCATGCACCCAAAAAGCCCATCCCTCCAGCGCAACAAGACAAGCACCTGGTCCTCAGTGGAGTGTGAAAGTGAAACAAAGCACTTGTGTAATACAAAGCACTGCTTTTGTATTACACAGTAAGTCAAGTGGTATTATTTTACCACTAAAATATTCAGTCTCTCAGGCACTTTTACTTCGGTCTCCAGCCATCAGTCAAACTGCTGAGGCGTGAGTGAGAGAAGGGGATAGAGGGAGAAAGAAAAAGGAGCGAGGGAGCGATGGAGACTCCATCCTCCTGTAACATGTGTCTACAGCAATCTTGTTAAAGAATGCAACAGATCTGCGGCAGGCTCCATAACAGTATTTGTCAGCAGGAGTTAATAATTTATTAGCAGTGCTGGGAGGGCTGCGCTCAGGCAGCTAAAGAGTGCAGAGAGCCCCTTCTGCTCCACCCCCACCTCTGACAAGCCCCATACAATACTACCCCATATTATTGAAAGGGAAAGGGAGAAGTGCAGCAATAATTCTCTGAAAATATCTGAGGGCAACCATACGGCATTTTAATCTTCATATTCCAAGCAGGGATCTCACAGCGCTGAGATCTAAAGGGGGTTGTGATCTGCATAGACACAACAAAGACCTTTGATGAGGAGCACTTTTTTTATTTAAAGCAGAAATTGAGGGGGGGGGGGTACCACCGACGCCTGGAGAATCGAATTGTATTTTCTCATAGAATAACTCTGTTTGCAGCCTTGGCCTCCGTGCTCGTAAACAAAGACAGCAACACAGCCCTGTTTGTGCAGCTGCAGTGTATTCTAACTTTACTCACATTAATAATTGAATCAGTTTCTCAAGATGAGAAGAGCCCAAAATGTGCTTTTACATAATAAAAAGAGAAAATATTTTGAAGTGAAGAAGAAGCTCATAAATCCCTTGCAAGACAAACTCCTTCACGCTTGATTACACAATAACAATGGAAGACTAACAAACCAGGGTAATCAATAAGTGCATGAAACGCCGCTTCCTCTCTGCTTAAAGATAGAAACCCCCAGTGACTTTGAAGACTTCAGGCAGGGACGAAGGAGCGGTCGGTCAGAAAAGAGAACTGGTCTATATATAGCTGACAATATTGCACACATTTGAAGGATTAAGACTTAAGTTCTCTGGCCCGTGGGCTCATATGGCCTGGAATGCTTTGAGTCATGAATTGTTCCCTGCGATAATGTTTCATCATCGTGCAAAACAACCTCCGCTTAATTGGTGCGTATTAAGGGAGTGTTGTGTGCACTGCTCATCTTTGGGGGTCTTGTGACTGCGGGACCATGTGTCCTCGGCTATCCCGTTTCCTCCTCCATCATAAAAAGCGTCTGACTGACTTTCGCTCGCTGTATCTGCTCTGTCACACTGTTTACCTTTTATAGACAATGGTGATGTGTAACTCCACACCGTCTTCCCCCACCACCCCATCCCACCCACATGCCTACTTGTCTCAATGCTGACGTCGTGCACCTTCATGTTTTGATCTGAAGTTTCAACAGGGGACAAAATTACAGCCTCTTCCTTCACAGAAAAAGGAGAGAAAGTCACAAAATATAAGACAAACAAATATATATTATTAGAGATGCAAAAATAATTCTTACAAATGAAAATAAGTTCAACCTTTGTCTTCAGGCCGATGCCTGGGGGAAAAACAACAGTTGCCAAAACACTTGTAGAGCCAATTAAGAAAGATGCTAAGACTGTTCGGTTCTACTGAGCGTTTGCTTAATTAAATCAATTTCCAAACAATGGCAATAACCTTGAAAATGAATGGTGTCATGGGTAATAATCTTTTAATGTGAGGTGGAAGTATAAAGAAAATAGTTTGGGGGCTTTATACCATGTGTGCGTATGTCTGTGTGTGTTTGACGGTGAGAGAGAGAGAGAAAATCATCTGTGTGTTTCCCTTCAGGGGTTCCTCCTGTTCTAACAGGTGTCGTGGTAGGGTTCCTCTGGGTTCTTCACCTGCCATAATGAGATATTACTACCTGACAGCTCCCAGCTGGAGGAGCATTGACACGGAATCCACCGTTTAGCACAATTAAATTATCACCCTCCATTGTGATTGTGCCATGCTGTGCAGCAGCCAGGTTTCTGGATACATAATCAACTCGTAATACGGGCTGTATACTGCACACGGTTAGAATCTGTTACACACACACAGGCGCACACACTTAGACACAGAGGGTGCACTCACACACACACACACACACACACAGTGGATATTTTTCTGTTGTATAATTCCTGCAGAATTCAAAACACGTTCCTGGAGCTATTTTTCTTTTTTCCAGTCAGTTTGAATGAGGAATAGACAAATTGATTTAAATCTCTTAAACCTCAGCCAACAAAATAATTATAGATAATGATATTAAAATATCGTAAATGGTCGAGAAAATACAGATTCTCCAACAAGGTAACCGACTGTGCAGCGAGTGGAGAGTTGACTAAATTAATTTGTTTAAATTGTTCCTCCATTATTGTTGACCTTCCCCTGCAAAAAGTCAACTCAATTATGGCGGCACTTCATCTTCACTTCACACTCTCT